GAGGATTGGTGTCCCATTAACATTATGACTTAACTTACCTCTTGTGAATAGTGAGTGCTTCTTTGCGGGGCAGCCGAGCCGCCCGACCGCGCGCCACCCCGTTTGCGCAGCAACACCTTAAACTTCATGGCCCCCCAAATTCGGGCGGGTCGGAGCGTACGAGTAGCGGAGACCGGAGTGGGACCCGAGTTTGAAAAGGGCGACGGACGCTTGCGTCCTAGCCTCCAACAACGCCTCCCCGGCGCAGAGGGGCCCCCGGAGGGACGCTCAACCGCCCCACGCCACGCCGCTTGCGGCGGTCCGATTCCCACGCCAGTGGATCGGAGTTCTTGCGTTGGTCTTCGAGCTTGGACTTACCGAGCTTACGAATTTCCTACCTGCTCGCGGCTCGCGCTGCTGGGCCGGCGATGGTGAGCGATGTCGCGGTGCAGTCAATACTGAACAACACGGCGGACGCGGTGGAGGAGATGATAGAGGGCCTGGTGCTGCTGAACCCCTCGCTGAAGCGGCTCGGCGGCCACAACGTCGTCGTGAGGGCTTCGCTCGACAGGAGCAAGGTCGCGCTTGTGTCAGGCGGCGGCAGTGGGCACGAGCCGTCGCACGCGGGCTGGGTCGGGGAGGGCATGCTCTCGGCCGCGGTGTGCGGTGCCGTCTTCGCGTCGCCGTCAACGGCGGCGGTGCTCGCGGCGATACTGCACGTGACGGGGCCGGCGGGCTGCCTCGTGGTCGTGAAAAACTACACGGGCGACCGGCTCAACTTTGGCCTCGCGTGCGAGCACGCCAAGGCGCTCGGGCTCTCCGTCGAGCTCGTCGTCGTCGGCGACGACTGCGCCTTGCCCCACCGCGGCCTCGGCATCGCCGGCCGGCGCGGGCTCGCGGGGGCGCTTCTCGTGCACAAGGTCGCCGGCGCGGCGGCGGCGGCGGGCGGGAGCCTCGAGAAGGTTGCGGCGGAGGCGCGGAGCACCGCGGCCTCCCTCGGCACGGTGGGCGTCGCGCTCAAGACCTGCCATCCCTTCGGCACCATCGTCGAGGAGCGCATCGCCGCCGGCAGCATGGAGGCGGACCTGCGCCCGCCCGCCTCGCTCCCTCCCCACTCCTCCACACCGCTGCACCGTCTGCGCATCGG